TGTTCATGGATAAGTGTGCAGGACTGTTTGTACTCTGTGCCTTTAAAAAAAAAAAACAAGTCAGAATTTTGTACTGTGGAAAATCTTGTACAACCGAAAGGTGAAGTGTGCAGAAAACTAGAAAAATCTTTAGCATGCTTTTATCTCATCCTTCCTCCAAGGCATTTGTGGTTCTCCGTCCTCCATTTTATCACCACCACCCTATGAAGTCGCTCAGGCTGAGGGTGTGTGGCTAGTCCAGGGTCATCCACGAAATCTCACAGCAAGAGGGGATTTGAACCCGCCCAACACTCTGATCACTAAATCACACTGTTTCGCATGAATATGTGCGCATTTGCATAAATGGTCCTGACCAATGCACCCTCTTAGCTGTGGAGTCCTGTGAGCAAAAATTCTACTTTGTGAGCTCCTGCCATTAAAAGGTGTGAGTGAGCAATTTGGCTACTGCATCAATTAGTTTGCTCTGGAGCCATCCTTCCTGAGCAAAGACAAAAATGTGTGAGCTGGAGGCTAAAAAACACTACCTCAGCTTAGAGGGAACACTGGTCTTGACTCACATAATTTATACTGGTCCAGGTGGAATGGTACAGTCCCATTCCCATCTAGGTCTTAAAGCCAATAAGCTGTTCAGCCAGAAAAAGACAGCAGTATAACAAAAAAATTATTGCTGTTTAAAATTGCAGCAGCCATATATTTACACACATCTAATGTTAAACCAATATCCAGGTCAGCTAACAGAGTCATTAAATGATAAGTTAGAAAAGCGAACAGGCTTTTTATCCAGACGAGGATCTGGAAATTTTCTTCTCAGATCCGAACAGATTACACAGAAAAAGAAGGAATGTTCAGTAGTTTCTACCAAGAACCTATCACAAATACAATCTCTAGATCCCCTTTCTTGGCCTGTAAATTGTCCATGTAAGGCAGCGAGTGGAGGTGAATTTAAGGGAATTCCAGGAGATGCCAGATCAAATTAAACCTTTACTAACAAGGAGTGGTGATAATAAATCCCAATGGGAAAGCAAAAATATTTGGTTTGATGTAGAATGGTACAGTATAGCCCAATCTGGTCAGATCTCAGAAGCTAAGCAGGTTTGGTACTTGGAAGGGAGACCATCAAGGAAGACTTTGTAGAGGAAGGCCATGGCCAACACCTCTGCTTAATTACTTGTGTTGAAAACCATGCGGGGTTGCGGTAAGTTGGCTTTGACTTGGTGGCACTTCATACATACACATACACACATGCACACATAGAGCTCCAGCCAGCCACATGGAGAAATGGAGCATATCAACATGTTAACCTTGGACACAGGGAATTTTACTCCACACACATCCCTTTTTGGCTCCTGAGATTTCATCAGACGTCAGCCACAACACTTCCAAGCCTACCTTGGCTACCAATTCTCTTTCCTGGTTTTAAAAGACAGAAGCAGTATCTGCTTTGGCCAGTACCAGTTTCTGATAGAGTGAGATCTTCTATGGTATCCAAAAACTGAACTCCAACTCTTTTAGAAAGACGGGAGGCAAAGAAAGAAAAACAACAGAGTACCTCAACGTGCATCTCACTGTGACGGTTAGCAGCGTGAGCATGTAGTTGCTACCACAGCGATTCATACCGGTTTACTGGCAGAAGACCGAGGCCAGAGATGGAGGTGCCAACCAAGCTACTGCTTAAATGCACCAGAAGACTCTGCGAAGCTGATTTCACCTGTCCTGGTGACTGTTCCCACCTCCTTAGGCAAGATCTTTGATTTGGACATCGTGTTACCTCCACTGAAGCCTTGAGAGGCAAGAGCAGGAGAAGGCAGAGCTGGCCAAAAGATATGCTAGTGGCCCACGACAGAAAACCCAAACGACTCCCTCCCCCATCCCCAAGGCTGACCCAGGCTGTGGACACTGCTGAGCAAGGCAGACAGGCTGAGCCACAGGCCATGAGTGACCCACCACAAATTTTTCCTGCCCAAGCCCCAGTGAGCGAGACAGCTACGGAAGAGCAGTGCGGCTCATGTCGCAGGGACTTGCGGCAGGAGATCTTTGCTGTGGTACAGATCTGCCTGCCTGCTGCAATTAATGGTACCTGGGACCTGCTGCTCAAGGAAGGCTCACAGAGAACGCCTGGTGGGTTTGATTTTTCAAAAAATGTTGCTCCCTCCCCAGTCCTCATTGTGTCACAAAGGTCAGACACGCCAAATTTGTTGACTCGGGGCCTCTGGGAAGAGTCCCAGGTGACCCCCAAGTCAACCAGATCAATTTGTCCGACTTGGGTAATCTGGTTGTACTAAGGTGCCCCTGGATCTGAATCTTGCTCTCCTACTACAGACCAACATGGCTAACCACCTAAAACTGCCTTCATGAGGGCAGTGTGCATCTACAACCCTCAACCCTCCCCCATATTTTGACAGGATTTGGAAAAGAAGCAGTGAGCCCTTGTCAGGGGTCATTTCCTGCAGGAGCACACAGGAGCGGAGCTCCGACAGTAAAGAGCCCAGGGGGCGGGCACATGCAACAAGCCCCACCCCCTGCTCCCAGCAGCCCTCAGTCAGAGCAAGAAGCAGCCAGGTAAATTGCAGAGCTCCCCACAGTCCCCCGGTCCAAAACAGTCCAGTGGCACCTTTAGGAACAAGTTTTATTCAGGTACAAGCTCTCCCTCCTCTGCGAGGGCAGATCTGCACGCCCCCCCCCCAATAGCTAGCAATCCAAAAACAGTCCAGTGGAGCCTGAGCGGTGAGTGTTGTCTTCTGACACACTTCCGGTGATGTCGGGGGTGTAGCATATGCAAATAAGTTATGCTAATGCATTATGCAAATGAGCTCCTGCCCCTTTTTCTACAAAATGACCCCTGGGGATCACCACCCCAACTGCTTCCTGCTCTTTGCAAGGGGGCATTCCATTGACTGATTTTGCATGCTACTGTTTCCTTTGGGTTGGGGGTTAAGATATGCAGACGACATGGGCCCAGATATTAGGAGACGGACATCATTACTGATATAGGAGTGACGTGTTTATTGTCTACATCTTGGCTGTATTTCCTGCTCACAACAGTCTAAGAAATTCTCAGCTTTTAAAAGCAAGTTTGAATCACTTTCTAACACTCGTTTGGGAAGGGGGAGGGGAATACTTCTTCTCCCCTCTAAAACAGGAACGGGTTTATCCGTGAAAAGGGAGGAACAGTTTTCTAAGGAAACAACACCCCGGCAACAGACAGACCCGTCCTTTTGCTGATGGTTGCTCTTTCGATGTTTTGTAATGTATTCCACATTCTAGGAGCGAGTCACTCCAGCACAAGGGAGTGTTTCACCCCCCAGCCAAACACTATGTACGTTTAAGCATCGACTATTCATCTATTTGGTGAACTTAAGCCAGTAGCTCAGGCTTGCAGTTAGCTGGCTAGCCCTGCAGCAGGACCACAATAAGCATCCCATTCAACGGCACGACAATTGCCAAATGGGGGCTGCAGCCTTGTGTAGGATGCTGGAGGGATGGCCGTGAGCAGAGCAGGGGGGTCTCCGACGTGGTGCCTGCCGAGTGTAGGAAGTGGGTGGAGCTAGGAAGGGTTTTGCCCAGCAGGGCTTCTGATTGGCTGTGCCAATTTTTTAAAATGTTGCTTTGGCAGCAGCGGTTGCAACAGCACAGTACAAGGATCTGCATTGTGGGACTGAAGTTAAGCTGTGGCAAAAAAAATAAAAATAAAAAGTTAAGCTGTGGCAGCCATTTTGCAGCTGGCCCCGCCTCTTGTGGCAGCCATTTTGTGGCTGTGTCAGAATTCCAAATGTGCCCACGGGCTGGAAAAGGCTGGGGACGTGAGACTGACCCATGGAGGAGGAGGAGTCCTATCAACTGTCATAATGGATAAATGGAACCTCAGTGCTGAGAGGCAGTGTACCTCTGAATTTCCACTTGCTGGGGGTGCAGAGCAATGGAAGGAGGCTTTGGCTTCTCTACCTCTGGTTGGCTAGCACTGGACACAGGATTTCGGGATTAGATGGACCCCCAGCCTGATCCAGAGGGGCTCTTCTGATGTTTTTAATGCATTTAACTGGAAAGTATATGAGCCTGTTCACAGGATGGGCGGGGTATAAATATAATTAATAAATAAAATATGCAGGTGAAGTTAACAGTACCAAGAAATCTGGAGTTGTGCTGAAAGGGGCCTTGCGTAGTGATCTGGTGTCTAGCAGTGAGCCACTTGTATGCGCTCTCTTTTTGACGTTGGAAGGTGCCTGCGTTCATTTTTATTCAGCACTCACTTCTGTGTGTGCGCTTTATACCACCACAGTAGCCTTTTCGCTCAAAGAATACTTATTCCCATGTTAACTGGAAAGCTGGCGTGGCGTAGTGGTTAAAGCACTGGACCAGGATCTGAGAAACTCAGGTTCAAATCCCCACTTTGCCATGGAAGCTTGCTGGGTGACCCTTGGGCCAGTCATCCATTCTCAGCCTAACCGACCTCACAGGGTTGTTGTGAGGATAAAATGGAGGAGGAGGAGAATAATCTGCTACTAGTCAAACACGCCTCTCCATTTTAAAATGCATTCAAAATTTTAAATATGTGCTGCAATTTGTGCAAGGGCACAAAAACCGACTGGGGCATGGGATTCAGTTTTCCTAGTTTCTTGGCTTGCTTCTTCCACTTGTGACCCTCAGTCAGCACACCGGTGTTCTTATGAATGGCCCCACAACCCTCTTTGTGATGAGCAGAATCAAAGGCATCCTTTCAAATGACTAAATGCAGAATTTTAAAATTACGCAGAACAAATTGTGCATTCAAATGAATGTAACAGAACACAGATTTTAGGGTTTGTTTTTTTTTAAAAAAAGCCCTGAACATGCCCCGCCTCTACCCTTCTTTGACTACAAACTCTCTGGGGCAAGGGTGGGTGGCATTTGACCTGCATAACCCCCTCCCCCAATGCCTGGCACTGTAAATCGTTGGCATTAAACAAATGTTTATAGCAATATTTCACGGCTTAACAGGGAGAAGCAGCTATAGAATTACTCACCCAATTAGAGACACCATCTGTTCCACTATATGTTTGCTGAACGTTATAATCACAAAAAGTTTCTGTAGGAAGGAAAACATCAGTCAGAGAGACACTGACCCAAAGGGGAAGCGGGGGACAATACAGTATCGCAACCTGTGTCCCTGTGCAATTAATCAGCAGCCTCTTGCGCCTGTGTGTGTTTTCATCCTTGCTTTGGATCCCAACCTCTTCTGTGGAATTTTCAGGCAGCAAACAGGATCCCCAGGTGGTCTTCCCCCCCAGGCCACTGGCCAGGCGCCGCCATTCTAACTTCAGCAAGGCTGCTGCATCGCAAGCCTTTGCCCTGGGACCCGTGACTGCCCTTCCAATCTAGGGGCAAACTAGATGGATCTTTAACTAAAACACACACCTGCTGCTGAAAATGGAAGCCAGGTTTCAAAGCTCTCTCCTTCTGTAACATCTAGGGTTGCCGGGTCCCTTTTTTCCACTGGTGCTCCCTCTAAGCGGTGGAGTCTCGTGAGCAAAAATTCTACTTTGTGAGCTGCTGGCATTAAAGTTGTGAGCGAGCCATTTGGCTTCTGCATACATTAGTTTGCTCTGGAGCCCTCCTTCCTGAGCTAAGACAGAAATGTGTGAGCTGGAGGCTAAAAACTGTGAGCTAGCTCACACTAACTCAGCTTAGAGTGAACACTGGTAGGGGGACATCAGCATGTCGGTGATGTCAGGGCGATGCTCTAGGGTTTGGGCGTAACCCTATGGTAAAATTAGCATCGAACCATAGAGTTTTGCTCAAAACCCAGAGCATCATCCCCGATGTCACCGATGTACTGATGTCACTTCCGGGTGAAGCAGGCACATCACATGCGATGTTGCTATTTGAGGAACCCACAAAATCGGGGGATCCCCCCCCCCGGGCAAATGGCAACTCTAGTAACACCCAGTGAGGTTGTCGAGGCCCAGGCAAGTGCACAACAGTGATGTTGTCAAGGGATAAGTTCTGCTAGACCAGAGATCCCCAGCCCTTTTCAGCCTGCAGAGTGGTGGTCACAACCAATGCTCCCTCTAAGCTGTGGAGTCTTGTGAGCAAAAAATCTACTTCGTGAGCTACCGGCATTAAAGTTGTGAGCGAGCAATTTGGCTACTGCATCAATCAGTTTGCTCTGGAGCCATGCTTCTTGAGCGAAGACAAAAATCTGTGAGCCGGAGGCTAAAAAACTGTGAGCTAGCTCACGCCAACTCAGCTTAGAGGTAACTCTGGACAACCACAAGAGGGCTGCCACAGGAGGTGGTGGGCACAACCACAAATTGTCAGGCAGGGAGTTCATGAATGACTCTCATAGTATTTCTTCAACGTTTAAGGCAGAAACTCTGTTTAGCACAGCCAATCACAAGTCCTGCTGGGCACAAGCACCTTCCGGCCTCGCCCACTTTCTAACAACCCTTGGTGGGCACCAGGAAAGATACCGCGGGCACCACAGTGGGGACTTGTACTAGACGTGATGGATGGGTGGAGGGAAACTAGACACACCAGCCCCACTGCTGGCAGCAGCTGGATCCATGAAACATAACCCCACGCATTGGCCTTTTATTCCATCCCAAACCAATGATGAAAAAGTTATTCCATTATTTTAAAAAAACACCCTCTATTTCATAATGGTTTCCATTTTCTCTTCAGGCTCGGCTCCAAGAATTTATGAAATCTCAGACCAGTGGTTACCAGAAGACTGAAGATCACTCAAAAACATCAGTCCCTTCAAGGGAAAAACAAACTGATGCGTTGGAAGAGCCACTAATTTACGGCATGCTTGAACCTCCCCACCCCCCACGAAATCCACTGATCTTCCAAAGCTACCAAGCCTGGCTTTATTTATGGAGCATTTTAAGGACTGAAATCCACCCAGGGCAGGGAAGTCAGAGGGTTTCCACAGTAAGCTCCCTGTGCGAGAAGGTAGATGGGTAATTACATGAAACACGTCACGGGGCACAGAAAGCTACGATAAGGACGGGGCTAGATCCCCTTCTCTACCATCTAGTTTTCTATGCAGAGGGCGCTTCATATAGGGAGGTGAGATTCAAGCAAGTGGTGGTATAAAATATGACCAATCAAGGCACAGTGTTGACACCTGACGAGCTGTTCCTCCAGAGATCCCCTAAACATGGGTAACCAAGTGCTGATTTCTGTTTGTTTTTTCACTTAAATCCCCGTTTCCTGCTCTTTAGAAGCAGCGTAACTCAAGGAATGGGAGAAAAACAAGTTAAAAATGGAAAATAGTGTTTCAGCGACAGATACGACCACAAGACGATTAGCTCCCATAAATCAAGGTTGAGCAATTCAGTGGCTTGGGCCCCTCCCTCTTGTTTCCATTACTTATTATGGGATGAACGGATGCATGCACTGTACTTTGGATGTAACCTCGGGGGGGAGGGGGGGCATTTTATTTATTTATTTATTCAATTGGATTTGTATCCTGCCTTCCCCGCGTATGGGCTCAGGGCAGGTAACAACAATATAAAACACAACATATTTAAAACCAAATTAAGACAACAGTATACAATGCCATACTCCTAAGTGCCATGTCAGCTCAGATTCATTATTATTGATTGATTGATTTGTTGCATTTATATCCCACCCTCCCCATGAGCAGGCTCAGGGCAGCTTACATTGGCCGGTACAATGTACCAAGTCCACATAAAACATTTTAGAAACAATCATACAATTAAAGTGCTCACAGTAATCATTCCTTCATGTAACCATTCCTTCAGATAGAAGCATATCAGCAGTGGTGAAAGAGTTAAGATGTTAGGGTCCGGGCCACTGGCCTCAACCATTCACTCCATAAAGTGTGGGGGTGTGGGCAAGATACATGCAGGGGACAAAGCAAGCCAGCACAGATTTTGCCGGTTCCACCCCTGGAATGTCCTCTTCAAGAATTTCAGATAAGGAAGAACCTCACCAGTTGGGAGTTTCTCCTACCATGGGCAGCACTGTGACTGGAAGAAAGAGACGTTTTGTGAAATTCTGTTCTTCAGAACAACTTGTGTGTGGATAAAAGGGCCTGTCCTATGCTTACGTTTTGTTCAGAAGACAGCTCTGCTTCAAATTTCCACAATTCCTAGTCCTATTACATTGCTTATTAAATGTATCATCCTAAAGACTGCCTTGATTTACATTCTGCAATACGCTTAAGAGTCTCAGTAAAAAAAAAAGGGGATGACAGATAACGTAAATAAATAAAGACCAGCTTCTCGGACTTTCCTCTGGGCAAACAGTGGCAGGGCCTCCCCTGCTGTGGGGCCTTCATTGAGTGACCCTCTGCCTATATGGATTTGCCTGAATTTGAGATGGCCGAGTTTTCACTGATTCCCTCCATTTTCCCAAGTCAAATCTACCCGTTTCTTCTTTCGTTATTGTTGGTTTTCAGGATAAAATGCCCGTAGTTTATTGGGGAATTACATGATGTTGTTTTTTGGCAATACTTTTAGATTACTGGCATTGTTTCACTATTTTATTGTTTTAATGGATGGCTGGAAACTGCCTCAGGAGCATGTACACTAAATTAATACAGGAAAAGCTCTTCTCAAGCAAGTGAGGATGAATGGATATGCCGGAGTGGCACCAGGTTATGTCTGGATGCCAGACAGGTGTCATATCTCCAGCATCTCCCTCCGTCAAACTTGTAAATGCAGGTGCGTTACCATGACTTCTGGCTGGCCCCTGTGCGGATGCTGCAAGCACCCGATCAGGCCACCCTCAAATAAGGAGGGGGGGGGGAGGTGGTCTGGTCTAGTCTCTCCAGATCCTGGAAGCCAAGCAGGGCTGGTACTTGGATGGGAGACCACCAAGGGAGACTCTGCAGAGGAAGGCCATGGCAGACCACCTCTGCTTCCTGCTTGCCTCGAAAGCCCCTTGGTGAGGTCATACGTTGGCTGTGACTCGACAGCACTTATGTATGTACTTTACATACTTGGGGGACTCATCAGGTATGCCGAAAAATCTGACTTTCTAAACTGACCAGAAGTGTGGGGGGGGGGGGCATAGAACCCACAAAAAGCCAGCCAGTTCAGGACTGGACTCGCTCTGGAAGGGATTTAAAGGTAGAGAGCAGCTGAGAGACAGGTAAAAGGGGGAAAGGTGGTACGTGTGTGAGTGGGTGTGGGTGTGTGAGAGAGAAATCAGCCTCCTCAAACCCCTAGTTTGATCCCCTAGGTCATGCACAGGATCCTTAGGACTGCTGGCACCATCCTCCCCCTGCACTTCCTGGTAGTCAACAAATCGTAGTTTGCAACTTTTCCTGCACATGCCGAGTATGGTGTGCAGGAAAGAGGAGGAAGGAGAAGGAGAAGGACTGGATTTATACCCCACTGTTCTCTCGGAATCTCAAAGTGGCTTACAATCTCCTTTCCTTCCCTTCCCCTCCCCACAACAAACACCCTGTGAGGTAGGTGGGGCTGAGAGAGCGCTCCTGAGAACTGTTCTTGAGAGAACAGCTCTGAGAGAACTTGTAACTGACCCAAGGTCACACCGGCAGCTGCATGTGGAGGAGTGGGGAATCAAACCAGATTCTCTCAGATTAGAGTCCACTATTCTTGACCGCTACACCAAACTTTGCTGGCAGACAGGAAATATGGAAAGGGGAAAGGGGAGGAACACATGTACAAATGAAAGGCAAGTGCACCATATAAAACAGCAGCGGTTGGTCTACTAAATGGATTAAAGACCTTGTAATCCATTAAAAAGGTATCCCTGATTAGTACAGCAGCAGAATTCTCTATAACTGTGGGAGATGGGATGCTTATCTTTGAGGCGTGAACTACTAGAGCATTCTCAACGACCCCCCGCCCCACCAGCCAGCTTGGAGAAGGCATTTGTCTCTTTAAATCCCTTCTCCAAGCCAAGCTAGCTGGTGTGGGGGCAGGGGGGGCCCTGGAGGACACATTTAACATTAAAGTTGCTTTCTATCCACCTCTCCCTCCCTCTCCCATCTATTTGCTTTCTTTCCACTTTCTTTCTTTCCACCTTTCTTTCACTCTCTCTCTTTCTCCCCTCCCTCCCCATCTAAAGTTATCAATTTAATATTAA